AAGTGCTTATTGAATGAGTTCAGGATATCTAAATCTGAGTTATATTTTTAAACATGAAACTAACTAATTTAAAATATTTTATTGTAAAACAGCCAGTTTCCTTTCTAATTATTTTTTAATTGTTATCCATATTCCTTGATTAAAACTTTGTGCATTAAGCTTTTCTGCATTTAGGATAATGTTTTAGGTTAGATTCCTAGTAATGGAATTATTGGATCGAAATGTGTGAACTTTTTAAAAAATTGATTTGAGAGAGAGACAGGGGATGAGGGAGGGAAAGATAGAGAGAGATTTGTTGGTCCATTTATTTACACATTCATTGGTTGATTATTGTATGTGCCCTAACCAGAAATCGAACCCACAACCTTGGCATATTGAGATGATGCTCTAATCAACTGAGCTACCTGGCCAGGGCCATGAAACTTTTTTAAAAAAAGTTGATGTATATTCATTGCCAAATTGGTTTTGCAAAGAATTATACCAATTTATTGCTATCAGCATATTTGTTTCCTTACATATTCTGTATTTAAGTGAGAATTTAAATCCCATTGTTGCTTTAATATATATTTCTTTGATTCTTAGTTACATTTAACATTTTCCATGTTTTAAAATTAGTTATGAAATTTGTTATTGTCTCTGCCCATTTATCTATAAGGGTTTAGAATTTTTCTTCTCATATTAGTTATTTGTATATTTAAACATTGAAAGTGTCTAAATGTCTCTCCCTCACTGACTCCCCCACCGCCCAGAAATAGAAAACCCTGACCAAAATTTAGTTTGACAACAAAAATAAAATTTGTTGGGGAAAAAAGTTTGCAGGAAATATATCAGAAGTTTAATTCTTTATCTAGCTAAATATCTTAGATTTTTGTGTAGTGTGAGTGGCAAAGTTTAATCTTCTACTGAAGACACAGAGCTACCATTGTGAATATTAATGAGAGCTAGTGCTGGAACAAAGGCTGCCCTCAGGCTTCTGAAGGAGGCTGGGTGTTTGTCCCCCTCTGACCGGCCCTTCCTTCATTACTTTGTAATGTTTCTACCACTTAAATAGCCACACTACACTTTATCAAAAGTAGTTACGTTTCTTAAAGGATCCTAAAAAGGAAAAAGAAAATGTTAACTCAAAAGTATATACAATTTATTTATTTATATTTTTGTTTGTTTTTTTAATCTTTACCCAAGGACATTTTTGCATTTATCTTCAGATAGAGCGGGAGGGAGGGAAGGAGGAAGAGAGAGAGAGAAACATCCATGGATGTGAGAGAGACACATCGACTGGTTGCCACCTGCATTACCCTAACCAGGGCCGGGAACAAACTGCAACTGAGGTACATGCATTTAGTGGCAACCGAACCCGGGACTCTCTGGTCCTCGGGCTGACGCTTTAACCGCTGAGCCAAACCTGCCAGGGCAAAAGTATATAAAATTTAAATGTTTGTATATTCAATACTTATCTTACATTTTTATTGCTCAGTAGACATTCAATCCAAATTAACTGTCTTCTTCTGGTGTTTGGTGACTCATGTCAGTGGATAAGGGACAATGCTATGATTTATTTACCTCATGGAGGGACAAGTGTCACTCTCCACTCCCCTAGAATCATTTGTGCAAACAGTGTCTTTTTCTTTTAATCCTCACCTGAGGATATTTTTCTAATTATCTTCAGATAGATTAGGAGGGAGAGGGGGAGAGAGAAACATCCATGTAAGAGAGACACATCGACTGGTTGCCTCCCACATGACCCTACCAGGGCTGGGGATGGAACCGCAACCAAAGTATGTGCCCTTGACCAGAATCGAACATGCGACTGTAGTCCGCTGAGCCAAACCAGCCAGGGCTAAACAGTATCTCTATTTGGAGGGCCTGCCCCCCCAAGAACCTTCTGGAGATTCTTATTTTGGCTCCAATGCCTCTCTTGTCAGGAGCTGATGGGAAATATACAGTGTCTGTATCTGAAGCTGGGCGAATATTCCTGCCATCAGTCTGGCTCCTAGTGGTTCCTCGGGAGCAGGAAGGGGGACAGAAAGGAATGGCAAATGTGGAAGACCTTGTGGCATAGAATCCAAGATATGACCTGGTAGTATATTACTGGATGTGGGAGAATTAGCTGAAATTATAACAATAGTTGTTACTATTTATTGTGCTAATACTTTCAACAATACTCAAGGGAAGTAGTATTCTTCCCATTTTACAAATGAGGAAACTGAGACTCAGATCATGTTTCATTGAGCACAGTTACTGTAAACAAAAGGAGAAGGCATATTTAGGGAGAATTCATTCAGACATGGCAATTTAAGGGAGAAACATCTTAGATACTTCAAACAGTAATTTGGAGAAGCAGGTTTGGAGCTTGGTAGAGAGGACAGGGCTAAAGAGATGTGGAGAATCCTGTGCACACAGATGACTGTTAAACTATTGGAGACTGGCTGGTGATGTATTATGGGGTCATCGTGGCAGTAGAGTTTAATTAATTGTTCACCCTTGCAGTGTTCCCTGCCTCTCTTTCTGCAGCATAGGTCCTGACTGCCTGGGAAGCATTAGTTTTGTTCAAGGGAGGTTACAGAACATAAATATATGAGGTGGTGTTATAGAGAGATTTTCTCAGTCCTGTTCCACTTTATCACCCCATTGGTAATGATGTGCTGCTGTAGATTCTAAGGGTAGGATGACAGCCAGACCCTGTGGAAAATGCTTTGGAATATCCAGTTATGGAGTTTGAAAACCCCATTTTCCAATAATTCTGTGTCTCTTCCAATACATTTTTAGAATCATTGTCCCTAGACCCATAGAGAAAAAGTGGGGATTGTTGCTTCCTTCTACTGGTCAAGAGATTCCTTTTCTTTAACCTAACTAATTGGGGAAAACAGTAGAGATATATGAGCCCTTTTAATAGTACAAAGAAGAGATTATTAGGAAGTGATTTGCTTAACTCTAAGGAATGATGTTTATTGCAAGGACACAGCAACAGTTGTGCTCTGGCTTTGGCTGTTCTGGGACCAGTTCTCTTCCCCACGGCCCACCATGTGCCTCTGCCTCACTCTCTGCCTTTCACTCCCAGCGTCCCCAAGCCTGGTGGGACATGCTGTTCAGCCTTTGAGTTAGGCCTGGAAATCTGGTCTAGCCTGCACCACTGTTTTGGCTCTAGGTCCAAGATTTTGCAATCCATGAGGAATTACCTGAGGCTGTTTCTTCTGTAGTAGGCAACAGGGCAGGCAATTAAGTGGCTTCACAGTCTCTATGGGGAAAATTCTCAAATAATCTGCTTTTTCAAGATGAAATTTGCCCATGGTCAGTGGATCATGTGATATGGTTGGGAGAGGTCAATGGATGGACAGAGTGTGTGAAATACGTGTTTAAGAACCACCACTAGGATTTTCTTGTTTGTTTAAAACTATAGGAATATTCCAGTTTTTGTATCTCCTGTGAAATATTTTGGGGATGAGCCATACCTCTATAGGGATATACTGCTACCAAAAGGAGCATGTCATTGCCTGGCCAGTGTGGCTCAGTGGTTGAGCATCAACCCATGCACCAGGAGGTTGCCGGTTTGATTCCAGGTCAGGGCACATGCCCAGGTTGTTGGCCAAATTCCAAGTGGGAGCATGCAGGAGGCGGCCAATTGATGTTCTCTCTCATTGATGTTTCTCTCTCTCCCTCTCCCTTCCTCTCTCTCTAAAATCAATAAGGAAAAAAAATTAAACAAAAAAAAAGGAGCATGCCACAATCCCCACATGTGTTAGGGCAGAAAGAGTTGAGAAGCACAGATCTAGAAGTGTCATTCAACTTGAAGTTAGGAGATGTTTCTAAATTATATGCATATACCCACTGTCAGTAACGTGCTTTTCACCAATGAGTCGTTTCAACAGATGTCTATTCTCTCATGCTGCTTAGTATAATTCTCAAAATAATTCTCATTTTAAAAGTGTTTGGCAGTTTTGGAATGGGGAAAGGATCAGTGGACAGTGCAACAAGATTTGTATAGGCTTTTTCTTTTTATGACATATACATGATATGTTTCTATGAAAATGAAGAAAATACTCATTTTTGCACATGCCATCAATCTTTAACAATCAGAAACTCACTTGGCAAGAGAAGTGGTGCAGCTATAATTGTTACATTGTTTTGTTTACTGTAAACCTGGCTCAACATTGGTAAATATAGTGTAGCAAAAACTGAACTGTTGTGAGCTTTCTGGGCATTGGTCCAAAATATCACTAAAAATACTGCCTCACTAATTTGGGTTTATGAATAATAATTTGCTAGCAGCTCAACTGAAATTGAGCCACATGGTGAAACTTAAAAATTCTGAATCCACAAGATAATGAGAGTAGTAGAAGTATATACTGCATACTTAATATTCTATATTTTAGTGATAAATTTATATGTAATTTTGGGTTAACTTTTAAATGGTAAGCACCCAAATGCTTGATATGATCTGATATCTTTAAAGTTTACTTAATACTGTGGCTTGCTGTTAATTTGAATGCCTTATAAAGTAAAATATTTTTGGTTTAAAAATCAAACCTAAAGAATAAGGAGAAGCTGCAGAATAGATATAAAAATGGACAATACCTGTTTTGGCATATAGATATGCAAACAGCTGGAGTTTACAGTAACATTCACCACAAAAATTAAAGGACATGAAGTTGTTGGATAAATAATATTTGGCTGTAAATGATAAATTATATACTTTATGACAAAGGGAATGAGGTTATGGTGAGATGACCGAAGACGAAAATTTATATTTTGATGTTTCTTTCCAAGAGAGGATATATTCGTGTGCTATTTCGTGTGATATTTTCTTTGTGTGCTATTTTAATGAGTTTAAGTTCTTTCTGGTCATATAATATCTAAACTCCCATTGAAAGAATATGGGAAGAGTTGATTTTGTGTCATTGTTAAGTATGTAAAACATTTTTGTAATATAAAGGTGTATGCATTATTTACAGAATTAATTTTAAATATTCCTCTTTTCAGTAAATATTTTATTCATTTTCCAGGTTAGCACTCTACGTATATGAATATCTGCTCCATGTAGGAGCTCAGAAATCGGCTCAAACATTTTTATCAGAGGTATGTTTTATATATATTTCTACACTATATTTTGATATCTTATGTAAACAAATGAAAAATATACTGTAACAATTATTTGAAAGAAATGAATTTTTATATATTTTATAGTGAGTGCTCAGTTATCAGTATGGATAATGTAGTCTTTGTAGATAATTTGTAACAGTTTTAGTATCCCAAAATGCCATTTCCATACCAATAACGTCCTATTCAATTGTCCAGACATGTCCCCCTTCAGAAATGGAAACTAATATTAGCCTGGGCAAAAATAATCAAGAAAACAAATTTGCTTTTTAAAAAAGACAAACACCACCATATCTCTAGTTCTAGCAATATTTTATTTTGGCATTATTCACAATTTTGGAAAATGTGTTTTTTGTTTTAATTTTCTATGGATAATAGTGAATCAGTGGCTAGATTTCAGTTAGAAAATATTGATAATCTTATTTCAAGTTCACGTTTCTCTTTGTTTTTCTCCTTCACATTTCTTTAAAACTTGAATTTGCGCTTTCTTGCAATGGTAATTTTTCTTGTCCAATTTATATAATGATGAGGTTGAGGAAGATTTTATTTAGTTTTATTATGTGCCAAGGTGCTTCACATATAGTATCTGTGATTCTTATAAGAGATATGCATGGTAGATGATAGTATACCTGTTTTACTGCTGAGAACAACAGGGATCAGAGAGTTTCTATAACTGGCCCATGGTTACACAGTTTAGTGAATTATGGAACTAGAATTCTGGCCTAGGTCTATGTTAATTTCAAAGTCCCTGGTTTCCCCCATATCTGTGCTGCCCAGTGTGGTAGCCAATCGGCATATATGCCTTTTTGAGCTCTTGAAATATGACATCCAATTAAGAAGTACTATTCAATGTGAAATGCACCCTGGATTTTGAAGACTTAGTGTGAACAATAGAATATAAAATATCAATAATTTAAAAATTTCGATCATACATCAAAATGGTAATATTTTGGATATATTGGGTAAAATCATTAAAGTTTATTTTACCCTTTTTTTTTTTTAATGTTGTTAGTAGAAAATTTAAAATTACATGTACAGCTCTCATTTGTGGCTCATGTTTATATTTCTATGGGACAGTGCCGCTCAAAATCATGTTCTTGCTAGTGAGACAGCAGTTTGTCCCCCACCAGATCAGGGACACAACAGGCAACCCGTAGACCAGAGTGCCCACCTGAGGTACAGCCTTCTTGAGATTCACTTGTTCTCCAAACAAACTCACAAGTAAACAAACACGTAGCTCCCCAGTCTGTGAACTATTGGGGCCTATTTGCAATTAAGGAATTTGAGAGGTTTGCTCACAGCATGTAAATCAATTGTTTTACCCTAGAAGGGATATAGTCAGTATAATTAAACTTTGATTTCAAAGTTAATTAAAATCAAAACAGAAGTTTAGTGTATCTGTATCTTATTAAGTTATGAATTAGAAGATTTTGGTCTGTGACCTTTCTAAGTGACATGTATTGTGATACCACAGAGGAAATGATTAAGATTGCAAAAAGGATGCTCTTAATATTTGTATTACTAAACACCACCAACCTGTAGTATATTTAAAAGACCATAAGGCAGCTATGGAGATTTAAAATTTTTATTTAATGCAGTTAAAAAGTTGATGAAACAGCAAAAGGATTTACTGATATTTTTCCTTAGATTAAAAACTATTTTGAATTGGCTCAATTTGTTGAATCCTTAGGGGTTCCCAAGACTTATTTTTTAAACCAATATTATAAGATATTAGAAACAGTGATTTTTGAACTTTATCCAAAAATAAAAATGTTGCTAGCTATGTAAGGAAGTTCAGATATTTGGACCCAAGGGGTTATATGGATTTAACACATACCAGATACTCGACTGATATTCCCTGGCCTCAATGGAAAATGGATATACACAATTTCCAGGGCTATTTGGTAGAAATGGAATTAATTTCAGAAGAGATTTTTAACATATACACATTTTTAACAAGTATTTATCATGATTTTATTTTCTCTGTCTTTTGCATTTGGAATACAAAACTGAGGATTTCTCTGAATTCTCAGTCTGTTTCAATTTCACAAAAGGAATCAGTTAAACAGAAAACAAACTATTGCCACCAAGAAGAAACAATATCTCAGGACTTGAGAGATGAGCGTATATGATTCTTAGAACTATTCTTCATTTTCTAACTTATCAAACTGAATGGCACTGTGAAAATACTTTCTCATTATCTAAATCATCAATATAGTGTTGGTGCTAAATATAAGGAATGAGTTGGTGTCCTTAACAAAAAAAATTAAGAATTAGAGCATTGCAGAGATTTAGATTTTTTCCCCTTGAAGTTTTTACATTGCTTATGCAATATTGCCAGCCCTGTTTGCCAAAATTAGTAAGTTAGCCAGAAGTAAAAGTTTAAAAACATCTACCAGATTGCTTCTTCAGATTTTACTAGGAATACTAAATTTTTAAATATCATAGACTCAAATTCTGTTCTCTCTGTTTATCTGTCACCTATATGAAGAGAGAAAATAATAATTTTCTATCCAATTTCTTGAACTGTAATTTGGAGACAATATAAGGTAGTCATAAAAAGCATATGCTTTGGGGCCAAACTTCTAGATTTGAATTATATTACACATATTATTTACTTGTCCAGTTTGCTTAATTATAAAAAGATAACCATAACAACAGTTTATAGTTGTGCTGAGGTTTAAATGAGTTAGTACATAGTACTTAGAAGGGCCTAGCATGTAGTAAGTTTTCAGTGTTATTTTTAAATTTCTTGGCCAGTTCTTTTCTATCTTGTGTAGTTTCGTTCTTTAGAGTACAGTATAAATACTCATCCTAAGTGTATGTGTGTGCTCCAAGTGTCTGTCACTTGGACGGCCCATGTTCCTCCTACCTTCTGGGGTTACCTCTTCTATCAACATGGCTCCAGCTCTAATCCCTAATATTTTGGTTGTCTCAAGTCCTTTCTAATGTTTTGGGGCCTTTCTAGGGGGAGGGGGAATTTTACTGTAATTTCTTGCACCTACTATTACTTCCCCACTGCTTCTCCTTCTCACGGCTGATGGCTTTTCTTTGCCTAAAATTTTCCATTCCCTTATAGCCTCAAAGCTCCACTCACCCATTGCTCTTGAGTATAAAAGATTCTAAGTGAAGGTTAGGAGCAAGTTGAAGAATAGTAAGGGTTGTTTAGTACCGACTGCAACATTAACTCAAATGTTAGACTCAACTATCCTTACATTCTTTGGTCACCTTGCCAAAGGGACTTTCTCACTAGCTATTTGTCTGAGGGCAATGGTCACCTTCCCTCTTGTTGGCTCCTCACAACCTCTCCATTTTCTCTTTTTCTGAATCCTCCCAGACACTCTCCCCACCCCTGACTTCTTCCTGAGAGACACTCAGCAATCTCCTAAATTCTTGTTATTTTATTATGTAGAATATTAAGTATTTGTTCTCTACTTTCAAACCGTTCCTAGAGAGCTTCTGCCTTTCTGGGCCAAGAAATAAAAACAAAAATCGAAAGGATTCATCAAGGAGCTTTTCCAATAAAAGGTATTCCTCCTTAAGAGGACTTCCACCTTTCTTCTGAAAGTAAAATAGCACTATTCAGTAATAAGACTTTGTATGATTATGAAAATGATCTCTGATCTGTGCCGTCTGGTAAGTTTTCCACTAGCCACAGGTGACTACTGAGCATTTGAAAAGTGGCTACTGTAACTGAGAAATAGTGAATTAACTTAATTTTAAATTCAAAGAGCCACATCCTGGTCAGGGTTAAACAGCACTGTTTTGGACTATCTGCTTCAAAGTGCAGATTTTTCTTCCTGTTATACATCTATTTGCTTTAATTTTTTGAATTAAACTGTAAACATTTTAAATATATTTTTTTACACTTAGTTTAGTGTTTAGATGCACCCATACTTCTATACATGGAAGCTTTTAGAAAATTAGAAGTCTCAGGAATTTTTGCCAAGGAGCAAATATATACATCGGTATACAGGCTCTTTTCTCTAACACAAGAACTTACTTTATCCTTTTATAGTATTTTTTTAAAAATCCTCACTGGAGGATATTTTTCCATTTATTTTCAGATAGAGAGGGGGGAGGAGAGAGAGAGAGAGGAACATTGATGTGAGAGAGACACATCATCCGGCCGCCTCCTGCACAACCCGACCAGGGCTGGGCACCAGACTGCAACTGAGGGACGTGCCCTGGACTGGAATTGAAACTACAACTCCCTGGTTCAGAGGCCGATGCTCCAACTGCTGAGCCAAACCAGCTAGGGCTATGGTATTTTATTTTTAATTGTCAAAAAGTATGAAAGGATTTAGGAATACCCTGAGAATTTGTAGCCTATGAGTTTCAAACCTGCTGCTGTGCTGTTGGAGATGCTGTGGGAGGGGGTCTGGATCATCTAAAGGGTCCTACATTGACAAGGCTATAACATGCAAAAAGGTGCTGCTGACCTCCAGAATTGCCCCGCCAGCAACTGCCGCCAGCAACTGGTTCATTTTGGGAGCCAGGGGCAGGAAGCTTCTCTTCTTCCTTCTGTCGGTTGATCTCCTGCGAGTGTCTCCTGGTGGCAGAACCTAACAGGAAACCAGCTGGCAAGACGCCCAGGAAATGTAATTTTCAGAATCCCAGCACCGGTGTAGAATGGAGTAGAGAAGGGCGGGTGTGGGGCTGAGAGGCAATAGGTAAATGGCCAGTGTACCTTGCTGGAAGGAGATAATGATGAAAAGTAAGCAGATGTGTATGTATATGTTCATGTGTACACATGTATATATTTATTATTTTTTCTTTGTTCACAAATGTTTATTACAAACACTGTTCTGTGCTTTGATTTTTGTTTCACTTGTTCGATTTCAATCATTTTATATTGGTATGTGAAACTTCATAATTGTCTTTTTATGGTTATAGGGTATTATTCTATAAAAGGTGCCATGGTATATTTTGCTAGCCCTCTACTACAAACATTTAGGTTATTTCCAGTCTTTTGCAATTATAAACAGTACTTCAATGTTAGTCATTATATATACACTTGTGACCATATTTACAGGATAAATTCCTAGAATAAGAATTGCTATATCAGATAGTATGTGCATTTGTAATTTGTAATTATTATTTATGAAGCATATGGTATGTCTTACCACTACCCTGTGATTCAGTGTTTGGTTCTACACTTATATAGAAATGCTGAAAAGACTAGATCATATGATAGAGACACAGCTTAATCACAGACGAGATCCTCAAATGGCAGTGGAAATGGGCCTAGAGATTTCCTGAGAGGTAGAGAAGAATACAGCTTTTAACTGGGACATGGTGGAAGGAAGAGAAGAGGATGATTAAAGATAGAAAAAAAAATATCCCAAGGACACTTTGAGTCTGGGATTTGAGAGAAATTGATAGATGTTACTCAGACATTTAAATAAGCCTGAAGTCCATGAAACTCAGTACAACAGAAAATGCCTCTTCAAAAATAGCATAAATGATTCTAAAATGACTATTGACATTTAGAGGTATTTTCTGGTCCTTACTCAACCCCACCCATCATTAATGTATCTTAGCTAAAAAAATGGAAACTACACAGGTGAATATGATTTTATAGTGAATGCCCCTTTTCTAGAAATCATAGTTGTAAGTTTGGTGTGATTTCTTTAATATTACACCCATATGCATGCATATATATGCACACTTTTTTTAAAACAGAAAAGGTTTGCCCCGGTCGGTTTGGCTCAGCAGTTAGAACATCAGCCTATGGACCAAAGAGTTGTGGGTTCAATCCCTGGCCCTGGTTGGTGTCTTGTGGGAGGCAACCAATCAATGTGTCTCTCTCACATTGATGTTTCTCTCCCTCTCCCTCTCCCTCTTCCCTCTCTCCCCCCCTTTCTCCCTCCCCTCCCTCTCCCCCTTCCCCTCTTTTCCTCCCTCCCACTCTATCTGAAAATCAGTGGGAAAATATCCTTGGGTGAGGATTAAAAAACAAAACAAAAGAAAATTTTTCTATTACTGTATGTTATATTGTTCCCCAACTTTCCAAATCTCTCACTTGAAAACCCAACATAGCATGGCCTTTTCTCTATGTCGATATATCTTAATCTTTTAAATTAGTGCATACTGTTCGGTAGTACATAAGTGTCAAAATTCATTTTACATTCACTGTTGGTAAATGTTTTTCAGGTTGTTTCTAACAGTGCTCAATGAATGTGCCTTGGTTTTCTATAGATCAGGGTTCTGTTTTCTTGACTATGGTTCATGCTTTCTCTAAACAAGTAATACCTAGAGTAGTAATTACTTTAGAAACACACACACACACACACTTTTACTGTGAAGCCATATTTCTATGTAGAGTCATCTCTTTGGAAATATCTAAAGTATTAATTGTTTGTTCATTAACTATAAAAGGACAGCTTTTATATTAAGTTTTATATAATGAACCAAAGTTTTAGCTGCTTCTGCCACAGCTTTGCAATTCAAAGTGAGAAAAATGAACTTTACTCACTACACAATAAAGAATATTAGGAGGCCCTGGCCGGTTTGGCTCAGCGGTTAGAGCGTCGACCTGCGGTCCTGAGAGACCCGGGTTCGGTTCCCGCTAAGGGCACGTACTTCGGTTGCAGTTTGTCCCCGGTCCTGGTCAGTCGTGCGGGTGGCAGCCACTCAATGTGTTCCTTTCACATCGATGTTTCTCTCTCTCTCTCTGTTCCTCTCTCTCCCTCCCACTCTACCTGAACAACAACAACAAAAAAAAGAATATTAGGAGGATGAAAAGATGATATATGTGAAGTGTTTTGAGTTTCTCTGAGGAATAACAAGATGTAATACTGTTTAAAGTACAAATGTGTTCCCTTTAGATTTTCTCTGATAAAAGACCTTATCAAGCATAAACCATATAGGTATTTTCTTAGAGTACTTTATCTCCAGAAATAGCTAATGACTGGCCATGGACATTGTGTAAATGCAGGAGAGAGATGTGTAGTGGGGCTCCGACTGTGAGTCTAATCCTGCCTCCAGCACATTATGGCATCGAGACCTAGCCGTGCCACTTAACTCTTCCCTAAGTCACCTCACATCCTCCTTATAACTGAGAATAGTACTATCTGCTGTAACAGTCATTGTATGTAAAGTGGAGATGAACTGGGATGACATGTAAAGATGCTACTTTCAAAAAAAAATTGCTGTTTCTGTGATTAGGATGATTTGAGGGATTAGGAATATTAGTGTGTCTGGGGCACACCCGTGATGTTCATTACTATATCTGTTCAAGAAAATACCGCCCTGGCCAGTTTGGCTCAGTGGTTAGAGCGTCGGCCTGTGGTCCAGAGAGACCTGGGTTCGGTTCCCGCTAAGGGCACGTACCTCGGTTGTAGTTTGTCCCTGGCCCTGGTTGTGGTTGGGTCATGTGGGTGGCAGCCACTTGATGTGTCCCTTTCACGTCGATGTTTCTCTCTCTCTCTCTCTCTCTCTCTCTCCCTCCCTCCCACTCTATCTGAACAAAAAATGGAAAAATGTCCTCAGGTGAGGATAAAAAAAAAAAAGAAGACACCAACTAGTGCAAAAATGGTTAGATGACAAATTGAGAGTAAGATGAGTAACAGGTTTTTGACTAGATTATATCTTTAGTAGTCCATCAGAGTTGTGTTCCTCGTAAGACTCATTGAGTACTATTTCTTATTTTTTCATGAACCAAGAAGATGTAATATCGATCAGTGGAATTATTAGATAAAAGCATAGATTTAAAAATTATTTGTTACTTCTTAGGAGAATTAAAGGGTCTAGATGCCATATGACATCTTCTGATTCATTATTTATATTTAGTTTTTATAAATTCAAGTTCATAAATTCCTAGAATTTCTCCTTTTAGTGTCTTTAAAAAATGGCTATCACATGTATAATTTTCTAATCTTTAGAACATTTCTCTTTGTTCTTTTTTTAGAAGAAATTATTTGTCTACTTCAAGATTACCATTGGCTTACATTTTGTGTTCTTAAGAAGTCTAAAAAACACAGCCAGTTTCAGTGCTTTTAATTATTCTTAAGTTTTTCCATCTCTTCCTTAGAGTGAGTGAGTTATTTATTTATTTATTTTACATTTAGGGCCACTTTCTGAGTTTCTATTCTAAAACTTAAAAAAAAATCCTTTTGGGATAAGAAGTCCTACCATCTTCCATAGTAGGTGGTAGAAAGGGTGCTCTGAATGTATAATTACAGTTGTTTACTTCCTAGTAGTGTTAAGGCTTATGGGCATATTTTGTTAATTGGGGTGTTGTTAAATAATTTTTTGCTAATTAAACTAAAAAGCTAAGGCAAATGTGTAAAGATTGTGTTTGAGGCTGGATCAACTTTATTAAAATGAGAACTCCCTTCTTACTGTTTTCCTGCTTTCTTTATCCTCCCTTCTCTGCATCGTTTTCCTCCATAGCATTTGTCACCTTCCACTTCCAATATAAGTACAATCTCCTTTTGGGGGGACGGGGCTCTTTGTTTATGGTCTGTCTTCCCATTAAAGTGTAATCTCTCTCAATGCAGAGATTGTTCCCTTCTGTGCTTACTGCTGTTCAGTGCTTAGAAAGGCCATGTATAAATACTGCCCTGCTTTCCAATTTCTAAATTTAATTTGTAAAGAGTATTTAGAACTTTTAATTTGGGGGGATATTGACTTAGTTTTTAATTTTTATTATAGTGGACTTCAACTCATCTGAAATATAAACAGTTGGAAAGTAATAGCATCTTTTGTAAACTTTTTTTTTGTAAGACATATGCCTTCTTACTTTCAGCCCCTCAAATCAGGAACTTATTCAGAAATTTGGTCCTTAAGGTGTACTTTGGAGTCTGTACATATTAAGCCCAATCTCTTGCAAATTTCTGGGTTAGTGGTGATAACCGATTTTCATATTGGTAATAACTTTGATTTTGATGTACCTTAAGGTGCTGAAGTACCTTAATATCCTGAAATGTCTTCTGAATTCTGGCACAGTGGGAAGCAAATTCAGGAAAATAATAGTGGCATTTTCCTTTATAGACGATTCAGTTAACAAATCAATACATAAAATGAGTACTTGTAAAACTTGAGTAAAGAATAATATAAAAATAATTAAAATCTTATGTATTACCTTAATATTTTTAAATGGGAAATATTGCTTTGTAATAGGTGTGGGGAAAATGTTATTAGGAACGTATTTAATATCTCTTTTATTTATTTTAGATAAGATGGGAAAAAAACATCACATTGGGGGAACCACCAGGATTCTTACATTCTTGGTGGTGGTAAGTATCTTTTATTTCATTTTTACCAGATCGATGACATATTTCAGTAGGCCTGCACTAGAGCTGTTTGTGATTTCATGCTTCTCTTCTATTCATTTTCATTTTACTACCAACTATTTTCTGAAAGGTAGCAACTAAAAAAAAAAAAAAAACACACACACACCAAACTCAAAACCAGCATTAGTGTTAATTTAACTTAAAGATGTTACTATTGAATCAAGCTGGAATTAGGACCAGTATGTGGGATCTCCAACCGTAAGTATGATTCTGTATCAGTCAACTTGGGCTGCCATAGTAAAATACCATATACTGGATGGCCTAAACAACTGACATTTATTTTCTTACCATCTTGGAGGCTGGAAATCCAAGACCAGGCAGCTGCCAGTATGGTCTGTTTCTGGTGAGAACTCTCTTTCTGGCTGGTAGACGTGGTGGTGGTGGGGGGGGCATGTGGGTGCCAGCTGGCTAGCTATCTGGTATCTTTTTTAATAAGGGTCCTAATTCCATCATGAGGGCTCCACTCTCATGGCCTCATTTTAACCTGAAGATACTGAAGGTGGTTGTGGTGACGGTGAATTTTGAGGAGAGTGAAGAATAGTAAAGAAAAAAAAAATATTATTATTATTATTATTATTATTATTATTCTGTATAGACTCAGAGATCTAGAACTGGCCAGGAACACACAAAAAGATGACCAGGCAGTATTGAAGGCCCAGTTGATATCGGAACTTATAATAAATTTTATTGTGCACCTGTATACCTAGATATGTGACTTTCCTGCAGCAGCACTTGGTAGTCCTGGTATTTGCATGAACCAGCTAGGCTTTAAAAATTTTTTTTATTTCTTCAATTAGAAGCATTTCCTGTCAGTTCCTTATATGCTCATCTCTCAGCAGCTTATTTAAAAGAAGAAACTAAAGCTCTCTTCTAGTGCTTTGCACGTGGTTTCCTTGGTACGTTATTAAATGCCATCATCTTTTTAATCTCTCTCCTGAAAACATGCCTTACTAGAAGTTCTGTGGTGAGTGGAACCGCACTTGGTCAGTTGTGGTTGTGGGTTTCCCTTGTTTGTCTCACATATGTACGGCAGGAACAGGTGCAGTCCTTTGGTTCAGAGTTGTTCCTGTATTTGGAACAACGGTTCATTGCATTTAAGCACTATCATTGTGCTGCTTTCCTGGGGTATAAGACCAATATTTTGTAATATTTATTCTAAAAGTCAATTTTTTTTGTTTCATATGGTATGTATTTATGATACCTAGATCTAGACTGTAAATACTTAACTGTTCGTTGAATGTCATTGAGTCTCTTTACCTGTTGACACCCTTACCTTTTGCACATTTCCCACAAGTTCCATTTCCAACAAGTGGCATAAGAAACCATTTTAGAAGTTATCCTGTTGGGTTAGGGGGCTAACAAAGTAAGGATTTTCAGTTTTCCATTATAGGATTAGTTCTATTTTTTTGCACCTATTTCCTTTTTGCTCCCCTTTCTCATGAATTTAGCCTATTTTCATACTATAGAGGGTTGATAATAACTCACTGAATCCTTTGGTTTTTTGTTTCTTTCAGACTTTAGCTTTTTTGGTCTTAGCTGTCAGAAGGTGAAACTCTTAAATACAGTTAATAGTATTATAACTGAGATATGTATGGCTTATAAGGGCAGTATAGGAGAAATACTCATGTTAGTTTGAGAGAATCAGAAAAGCCTGAATAGAGAAAGTGAATCTGGGCTGAGCTGAAAATTGGGTGAGGGAAGGATACTTTGGTGGAAGAATAGTGAGTATGAAGTCTTAAAGGGATGCTAGGTAGCTTGGACCAGTACTATAAAGTGATAGAATATCAATCTGGAGACAAAGGCAGGGGCCAGATTACGAAATCCAGGAGTACGTCAAGGATTTTGGAATAAAGCTTAAAGATTTTAGAGAAGGTACATAACATGATTAGATTTGTACTTTTAGATACACACTTGGCATCAGCACAGAGATGGATTAAAGAGGATTGAGAACAGAGGCAGAATCTAGTTTACAAGGCACTTGTCATTGTCCTGTTAAAAGGTGATTAGGTGATGGATCCCAGAGAGTGAACACTGAATGGAATATTTAGGGATGAAGGAGGAGGGCCTCAGATTTGAGGTTTGTATGGTGAGGCCACTTGCTGAATGAGAAATAGAGAGAGAGCAATAGGCTTTGGAGAAAAGACCATGATTTAACTTGAACAGACTAAATTTTGAGATTCCTGTGAGACCTTCAGATAGAGATGCCCTATATAAAGTCAGAGATCTGGGTCTGCTGCTCTGAGACAGGTCCATAATGGCTTGGGAGTTATCAGCACTGACCATATTGAAACCACCCATTGTAAACCTGAGAGCAGGGCCTGGGGTTGGAACTCTGGGGAAAGTCGACATTTAAGTGTGGGTGTGTGAGAAGATCCTCAAAGGAAAATAACTGGAGAGGAAGGAGGGTAATTAGGAGAGTAAAATGTATAGGAACCAGAAAAGGCACTCAAAGGAGAGGTTAATTCTGCTGTAAGTGTAAATAAAAAGAGTTGGGAAGTAGGGTGAACTTTGGTGGTCTTGGGGAGGACAGTTCCAGTGGAATGGTAAACATGAAATGTAGGAGGCTGCTTAATGCATTTGTTCAAGGTTACTGAGAGTAGTTGAAATGTGTGGTGGCATGTGTAGTTGTTTTAGGATTAACAATAGGACAGAGCCTAACATTTTAGATTTTAAAATAGAATCGATTTGAGCTTGTATATAGATTGCTGTGGGAAGAGTGGGAGAGGTTGAAGATGTATCAAGAGAAATACCCATACACACAAATACGGAATAAAGTACAGGAGAGAGGAGAGGCAAAGCCCTGGAGTGGAGGAGGGGAATTTCTGCCTTTAGTAAGGGATAGAGTGTGTGTTTTCACTTTCTGGAACCGTTGTCCTTGTTTCTGATGTGATTTCCATTATCACTATACTTTTGTCCTCAGTTTGCGTGATGCCCATTGCTGTACTATTTCTCATGCCTCCCAGGTTCGTTACCTTTCCTTTGATCAAATCACCTCAGAAAACTTACTTTTTGTTTGTACACGTTAATAAAAGTTTCCAACTCTTCAATGAATTTCAGAAAGAGAAATGCCAGGAAACTTCTTTCCTGTAAAATTAATGTCCTTTTCAATTTGTGTAATTTACAAATATATACTTTTAAAAACTTTGTTTTTAAAGTTTTAATGGATTAAATTATTTTTTATTTTTATTTAATTATACATATAAAACACCTTTTGAAATAACATTGGGCCAATGTATCCACAGCCTGAAATTAAATATATATCACATTGCAGAGACGATAAACTAATAACTAAGATTTTTTTTCTATTCTAAGGTATCCCTTTTATCTCAATTTTTTCATTTTATTTGTATTATTATTTTATTTATCCTTATTGTTGAAAGTATTACAGATGCCCCTCCTTTTTTCTCCATTGATATCCTCCTCCCTGTTCCCATGCTCACCCCCACCCCCGCCTTCACTACACTATCTGTGTCTACTGATAACTAAGATTATTATGAGATTTCCCTGTCCTTCACCTGGCTGTGGAGGTCAAATCTTGCAGTATGTTAGCACTCTAAAGATTATAGACCCTAATGAATGACATCAGGAATAGTTAAGAATAACCACATATCCATATAAAACCAACAACATTGAAATTAGTCAACTGGCTCACTACAATGGTTAACATTTATAATTGGCAGACTGGTTCTTACTCATATTGTGTATTTTACCTGTAATAGGTGTCGCTAGTTAACTGTTTATTTGAATTAAATTAAACTAAGCAGCAATATAAGACAATGTAGGTGACAAGTAGGATAGAAGGATTATAATCATCGTGAGAAGGGAATGAAAAGTGCTTGCAAGAGAGAAAGCAAAGAACAAAAGTGGTCAGTCTATAGAGAAACAGCAAAATGTGTCTGGGAAAGTAGGAAAGAAATGTGGAATACAGAGGAAAATGTGCTGGGGAGAATCTTCCACTGATGCAAAGGATTAAAGAGGAAATTGAGGCAGATTTTACTCAGTTAATAAGAAAACATTTTTTCTATAAAAAGTACTTTTTATAAAAGTACTATCTATAAAAGTACTTGTGCATATGCCATCTCTTTGTTCTATACAAATACCTGTAAAATACATAACAGATATTTCTCTGTTTTTACATAAAAAAACTGAGGAACACAAGTATTTTCTCAGGATCAGATTTAGAATTAGAATTGAAGTTTTCTAAATTGTAACCAGTGTTTGTCTCTGCAACAGATATTATTTCTTAAACACAAAATGGAATTTAGTGGCCCACTATTAATAAGAAATTAATTACAGTTCCATTTTGAGCATCATGAGTGGCTAATTCCAGACAGTAGATATAAATGGGGCTTAAAAGAGTTGTTTCTTTGATATCTAGTCTATATTGGGGCATCCATGGATCACTGGCAGCTGCTGATAGCATGAAGGGGTGATTGCCATAGGGCACTCGGGAAATGACTTGGAGTGCAGGGGTCAAAGGTAGGATAACAGAGTGCTTGCTGCCTTATCTAGTACAGGTATCTACCACATTCGTATGACACCCGATGCTGCTCATACTGCCAGAGCTATAGGAACCTGCCCATTATCAGTATAAGGTATCTCGAAATAAGAACTCTAAATACTGTACTCACATGAGAGGCAAAATAATGTAAGAATTAAAAAGTTTAAGCCCAGCTCTGCCACTAACTATGACCATTAGGAAAGTTATTTAGCCTTCCTAAGCCTCAGTTCCCTCATCTATAAAATGGGAATAATAATAGGAGTATTAAATGTTAAATATGTAATGCTTAGTATATGATGCTTGAATCTAGCACATACTTATTCATGTAAGCTATTTTGATACCTTGAAATATGAATTTATTACTAACCCAAGAGTATTGTGAGAACTTTATGATAGTGGGACAGAATTTAATGCTTGCATTTAAAAAGTATTAAGTAATGCTAAGGAATAAGACATGTACGTGGAAGTTCTAAGGTGATGAGCAAGTACATGGACATATCATGTAAAACCCTCCTTAGTCTTAGGAATGAATGCTTTTCTTCATTCATCGTTAATATAATTTCGGGTCAAAGAGAAATAATTTCTTTAGTTATTAAGACTTGAATTTATAATAACATGGCTTGCTTCTCAGAAAAAAATGTTTTCCCCAAAGATTTTTCTTGTTTTAATTTTTATTTTCCAATAGTCCTGAATCTGGCCAGTGGCATAAAGGTTATATAATTATGTTAGTATTCCATCTTATGGGACACATCTGGTATGTTTATTCTCCCTTGTAGACTTCTCTGACAACCATTTTGCTTTCTTTGTTCCCTAGAGATACTAGCTAAGTCATTTCACTTGATCCTCAGAATAAAACTAAAATAAGTTCTTGGATGAGAATTCTCAACAACATGGGAATCCTCTGTTTCCCTCTGATATATGTGGGGAAATTTTTAATAATAAATGATACAAAAACAAAGATTTCAATAGTTTCCAGTTTGCTTCTCTATCTTTTTCATTTGTAAAATACAAATGTTTCCACTTGTTTCTGCTTAAGAACACAGAGACTGTAAATCTAAAGCATTATTCATGATGGTGAATTCACCACATTTCAAGGATAATATTTTGGTTTCAAGCTTAATAGATGTAGGGATTAGAGGAATTGAAAAGCTTCTTAGCCACCAACATCTCAGGTTGTAGTGAAAAGAATTCAGTGTCTATTGATTACTCTAGCTTTGTAACATCATTTGAAATCAGGAAGTGTGATGCTTAGCTTTATTCTTCTTTCTCAAGATTGCTTTGACTCTTCAGGTCTTTTGTAGTTCCATACACATTTTAGAGTTGTTGTTTTCTGTGAAAAATGTCATTAGAATTTTGATAGGGATTGCATTGAATCTGTAGATGGCTTTGGGTAGTATGAACATTTTAACAACATTAATTCCTCTAATCCATGGCATAGAGTATCTTTCTGTTTGTGTCTTCTTCGATTTCTTTCGTCAATGTCTTACAGTTTTCAGTGTGTAGCCCTTTACCTCCATGGTTTATTCCTAGATATGTTATTCTTATTGATCAGTTCTGTTTCTTAATTTCTCTTATAATGATTTGTTGTTAGTGTATAAAAACTAAACAAATTTTTGTATATTGATTTTTGTATTTTGCAAGTTTACTGAGTTCATTTATTAGTTCTAACAATATTTTTGTGGAGTCTTTAGTAATTTTAATATTTTTTTCTTAGCCCATTTAGCTAAAGGTTTGTCAAGTTTATTGATCTTTTCAAAGAACCAACTTTTGTTTTTAAGAAGTTTTTTTTCTATTGTTTTTCTATTCTCTATTTTATTTATCGCTGCTCTAATCTTTATTATTTATTTCTGCTAGCTTTGGTTTTAATTTGTTATTTTTTAGTTCCTTAAGTTTCAAAGTTACATTGTTGATTTAGGATCATCCTGTTTTTAAATGTAAGTATTTATAGCTTTAAATTTCCCTCTTAGCTCTGCTTTCGCTGTATCCTGTAAGTTTTGGTGAGTTGTGCTTTTGTTTCATGTCTACATATTTCTTTTTTTGATTTCCCTGAGATGGCTTCTTTGATCCATTGGCAGTGTGCCTTTTTTAGTTTTTCTTGTTACTGATTTCTAATTTCATCCTATGTGTTTGAAGAAGATACTTTGTATGATACCTATCTTTGTAAATCTATTGATAATTAAGTTGTGCCCTAACATATGGTCTATCCTAGAAAATGTCCCATGTGCACTTGAGAAGAATCTGAGTGCCACTGTGGTTGGGTAGAGTGTTCTGTATATATCTATTAGATTTAGTTGATTTATTGTGCTGTTTACACCCTCTATTTCCTTGTTTATCTTCTGAATGGTACTTCTGTGCATTAATAATAATAGAGTATTAATATCTGTAACTGTTATTGTAAAACTATGTATTTCTCCCTTGGGTAAATGTCTTTAAAAGGATATATTATTTACCTTTATTCAAAGGTAGAAATGTTATATATAAAGTTATCCTTTTTTAGTAACTTGTTTTATTATCCCTCATCTTTTTTTATTTATTGATTGATTTTTAGAGAGAGAGAGAGAAATTAATTTTTGTTGTTCCACTTATTTGTGCATTCATTGGTTGATTCTTGTATGTGCCCTGACTGGGAATCGAACCTGCAACCTGGCATATTAGGATGACGCTCTAACCAGCTGCGCTACCCAGCCGGTGCTTATTATCCCTCATCTTGATCTTGTAAACTTTTGACCGCCCATTAAGTCCATAATGAGGAAACTTAAAAATAGAAGTAGATCCATGTTATTATTCAAAGATAAATATTTAATTTAATTATATGTATACATCATTATTCATGATATTTACTTAATAACATTTAGGACATACTCCAATAAAAAATTTTTTTTTCTTCCAGTCAACTATGTAAGACAACCTTTTAATTTATATGTTTATTTTTTGCTTAACAAGTTTAACTTTATTTCAAGAATTTAAGTCAAATTTTCATTTTGAATAAAATTTCAATGAACACAAACAACTTGGGCTAGACTATTAAAACAACCAAACAGTAGAGGAGACATTTAATGAATAAACTCCCCATGTTAACACTTTGCCTAAGTAAATTATTCTAGAGGTACTGTGTTCTAGCTATATAAGTTTGATTTGTTTCAATAAATCAGAGAAAGGAAAAAGGTAGGGAGGGGACTGTGACAATTACACTTAATCTTCACCAGACTGACATGTCACTTTTGTCCTTTGCTTTCCCATTGATTACTCAGTAATACTGGAATAATTTTTAAGACAAATCTTACGGTATTTGCTAAGAAATTAGGAAACAAGAGAAATAGTTGTTTGTCATAATATTGCAAATAATATTGTATGTTTAAATTAAATATGCTTTTATAAAGACTACCATTATAAAATATTGGTTTTAAGAGCTTTGAAGTTCCTTTAGAATATGAGCCCTGGCTGGTTTGGCTCAGTAGTTAGAATATTGGCCCTCAGACCAATGAGTCACTGGCTCGATTCCGGCCAAGGGCACGTACCTCGGTTGTGGTTCGATCTCGGGACCTGGTTGGGGTCGTGCAGGAGGCAACCAATCGATGGGTCCCTCTCACATCTATGTTTCTCTGTCCTTCCCTCTCTCCCTCCCATTCTAACTGAAGAAAAATGAAAAAATATCATTGAGTGAGGATTAAAAAAAAAATAGAACATGAAAGTAGAAATAATTGTCAGATATTGTAATTTATAACACACCTGATTCAAGTGGAAAACTATCCTTGTATGTCTACAATTCTTATACTTTTAATCCTAAAAGGGGAATGGGGAGGCCACGTACAATTTTTAACTGCTTTATCTCTCCTAAAAAGAATTGGAATCTACTTAAATTATTTTGGTCTTTATTATTTTCTTTGTGTTTCTTGCTTATTGAACACATTTTAAAGGCAATATACGTTAATACTCAATCTTTCATATTTTTCACTTTTGAAGGCAATCTTATTAATTAACTGTGTTATAAGGCCTGTGGAATGTGTTATCCCAGCTGAGGAGAATGAGACCCAGACTAAATGAGACTTCAAGGGTCAAAACAAAGAGACCAAGTTTAATTGACCAAGTTTTACATTGTTAGTTTCCCCGCTCAGCATAGTTCTCTGCCTGAACAATATGTGTGCATTTTAAGATTTTATGCAAGCCTGTTACAGTGTTGATGATATTATTAATAATATGCTTACTATGAGTCAGACATGGTGCTTGTTGTATAACTTAATTTTCTAAACCACCCCATTTTATAGAGGAGGAAATTGTGTTTCCAATCTGTTTAAGCATCTTGAACTAGTAATTAGTAGGGCTGGCTTATCAGCAGTAGTACTTTCAGACATTTGCTTTCTTGAGTTTTGAATCCTTGCTCATGCTGATAGTTAATTTTATAGATGGGAGGATGACCAGAGCCATATGTCTTTTAAGTAGTATAATTATTTTTTCCCAACCAGTTTCATCTTACTTTTTTTCATTATTCTTGAATAGGAGTGGAAAAAACAGCATGGATTTTTTAATTTTCAAAATTACTAACCTATTTTGGTAATTGCAAGGGAAAATAAGAGCAAATTTAAGAAAACATATTTGTTTGACCAATGTGATTTAATAGTTAGGGTATAAGCCTGTGAGTTGGACAACAAAATTATCTTGAAAAAAGTCAATGAACCACTTTATTCTTTAATGATTAAATTACAATATTTTTTACTGTTATAATTTTTCATGGGAAAGTTGTGAAAATGACTATAATTATTTCAATCATGTTTGTTATGTAAACACAAAAATAATGGTTTTAAATTTTTTAAAAATTAGTTTAGCCTTTTAGAAAAATCATATTAGCATTTGTGAACAATGGCTAGATTATCCCCTGTTACTGAATGAAGAATCTTGCCTGAATTGAAGTGTTTCAAAGAAGTATTTGTCTTGACGAAAACACACTATATATATATATATCTATATATATAGATATATATAAATAAAGGTCTTCTATTTTTAGAATTGTTATCTCTCATTTGGCATGATTTTCTTAATGTTACCATAATTACTTTTTTAGTGTATTTTGGGATCTCTACTGTGCAGCTCCAGAAAGACGGGAAACATGTGAACATTCAAGTGAAGCAAAAGCCTTCCATGATTATGTAAGTTAATCTGTCCCTTTACTGATACAGTGTCCATTTTCTTTTTAACCACTGCTCTTGAAAAATGCATTGGGCCGTCTATTCTTTTCCTTTGGTGCTTAAGAAATTGTTCTTTTTTTTCTTGAAAAATAGGTTCATAACTTTACAAGTAAATTACAAATGGGTGTTTGGGTCTTGTTGAGGAAGCTTGGGGCAAGAGTAGTTTTAATTCCAAGCTATTAAGGGTATTTCTGGTATTTCTTATCTTTAAGCATGACTGATTTGTGATATTTTAGATTTATAAGAATTAAGTAGTAATTATTTATGAAGAGTCATCACAAGAATTATGTAAATAATATTGTACATAAGATTTCAAATATATATATTCTTCTCTTTTTGCTAATTTTGGTTACATATCTTAAGAGCTTTGAAGTTCCTTAAGCACCTGAAATTAAGAATATTTGCAGTCATAAGGCTAAATATCCCCGTCACTGAATTCAGTCCCACAAGTAAACTTTATTGTGAATTAAAGGAAATACAAGATAAGAGAGCAAAAGATTCTGTACAAAAATGAAAAAAATTCTTGAAGAAGGGCAGTGGACTGTCCTGGGCTAGGTGATGTATATTAAAAACATTTTTAGAAGAACTCCGATACAATTTTAGAGAGTTGGTATCAGGGAGAAAAATTGTTTAAAAAAAAAAAGGCGAGGAAACAAGAAAGATCGTCTTGAGGAAAAACTTGCATTTAAGAATGAGGAGATGGCATTGTGAAGGGACTGAGAGAACACTGTGTAGAACTGACTGTAAAAGGAGGACAGATGTCTTAGGGACTGAGGAGATCCAGGGTCCTTGGTTTGGAGGAAGTGGAGTTGGAGCTGCAGCCTGAGGAAATAGTAAGTGCCTAAAACTTAACCAGGGGGATACTTGTTAAGTTGGTGAAGGGAAGTATCAGTTTGTTTTTAAACAGCCTTGAAAACCAGAACCAGGGTTCAAAAGGGAAAAAGACCATGTTCTTCCAAAGGAAGTACTTCAGCCTTAGACTGAAGAGTAGCAATTGCCAGAACAATTATAACCCCAAAAGTAGCACAAAGAAGAGAAGTGAAAATCTTTGGCATCTGGCAGGGACTGTGCAATACTTGAAATGTTTACTAAACAAATTTAAGTGAAACTGCTTGTGATGTCATAACTTTATGACATGGATTGTACTCCTAAAGCTTGCCATGTACTACACCATAGCTCTCCCGGACAAGAATGAAACATGCTACTGCATATAAAGAAAAAGTTGAGAAAGGCAGATAAGGCAGGGCCCAGGACACAGTATTTATCTGAACAATTTCATTTCCCCATCTGAACAATTTCATTTCCCCTTTTCACCCCTGGCTGATGGCAGAAAGTAAAGCAGAGAGTGAACCATGAGGAGTATAAGGAACCTGGCTAGAGCAGGATACTTGGTCTCATCTCTCTTACATCAGGAAAGACATGCCTAGATTTGACCTGCCAGTCGTGGGAAAAGTTTTTTAAAATATCCATCAGTTTTGACAACTAGATGGCATTTTTTATTTTATTTTTTAGTTGCAGACTGGATTTTTTAAAGTAGAAGAGAAAAAAAAAATCACCCACGCCATTCCCTGACCACCAGTGTTCTACGCTAAAGGACATATAATATTGGTGGATCTACGTTTTAAGAAGTTAACTATATCAGTACTCTTTCATATTCCATTGTATGGAAAGATGCACCCTGCTGTTCACCATGGAAATCTTATAGGGAATACAGGATTAATTTATCATCTCTTTCTTAGAAGCATTAGATAAATCATAACCATTTTTTTGTCATTGCTATTATCGTTATCATTATCATAATCATTTTGTATTCATACGGCACTTCCAATATTTCAGAGAGTATTCACAACTTATTAGCTTTAGAAACCCACTTTAATATTTCAAGGTTTTTGAAATGAGCATTGACCAGAAATAGGAGTGAAATTAGAATATATTTTAAATAATAACAATCTCTTATCATGTAATTTGGTCCTAAGAAAATGTAGTTTTAAAAAAGGTCAGGCCTGGCCACTGTGGCCCAGTGGATTGAGCATGGTCCTATGGGCTGAGAGGTCCTGGTTCAATTACCAATCAGGGTCCATGCCCGGGTTGCAGACTCAATCCCCAATAGGGGGCGTGCAGGAGGCTACCAAATGATGTTCCTCACATCGATGTTTCTATGTCGTTCCCTTCCTCTCTCTCTCAAAAAAAAAAAAAAAAAAAATCAATAAAAGCATATTTAAAAATAATATTTTAAGAAAAAAAGGTCAGTATTTTGTTCTTTAATTCATTATGAACATTCACACATGCTTTATCCAATATTTCATAATTTTATCTTAAACATTAATTTTAGGAAATTTAACTTATTCTTAGATAGCATTTTTTTATACCTTTAAGCTAATTTATTTTCCATTGTAATGTATCTCCATAAAAGTTTTTTAAAACAGAGATTTGTGGAAGGATTGAGTTTGACTTGCATAATTTTTTTTCACAATTGAATATTTAGAAATACATTTGTCTTCCATAGCACATTTGTATGGTAATTTTCATGAGTTGAATTTCTGAATTCTTAATAGACAATTTCTGAAAATTTCAATATAATATGTTTAATGTGTAGACACATAAATGTGAAGACCCTGGAAAGAAAATGGAAAATAGGTACACAATAAAATTTTGGTAAAATTATAGAATGTTATATTCCTGTATTAGGGTCTATTAACCATTTCTGTAATAGTAATTAATATGTATACCAACTGAATTTCAAGGTAGTTCTCAAGGAAGCCTACTGAAAAATATTTTTTTCATTAGCCATATCTTTAAGTAAAAAAATACTTGCATATATAAATTCTGGTATGTTTAAATAGTCTTGTTATTTTATAGTCTTTGTTTATCTATAAGATTGAATGGATAATGAAAGATAAACTACTTTTTTTAAAAGAAATAGTGGAGGTATAATGAGGTAAATAATGAGTAATTATTTTAATTAAAAAATAGGCTCAAATGTTAAAGGTATTATCTTTTGCTATTGAGATTACGTATGATTTTTGTCTACATATACAGTATTTCTGTTTTCGGAATATTTATAGTTAATATTAATGTTATATTCAAGAAAGTTACCTTAAAGCAGATTAAATTTTACCTTTCATTGAATTCCAATCTCTCTTCTAAAATTAGAAAATAAAATACTGAGTAAAATAAAATAAAATTTGTGGTGGTCATATGTTTTCATATAACTATGTTAATATTCCTAAGCATTTAGCATTTCTCATGAAAGACTTTTTTTTTTTTTATGTGCACGTATTAAAAGAGATCTGTATCTATAAATTGAATAGATATAATTTTGAGCCATTCTATAACTCTAATAACCTTTATTTTGAAATTATTATCCTAGAAACATTTTTGGCTTTTGGTTTAATTTTTTTTTTTTCAGTTTTTCTGAGCATTGCTTCTTTAGAATGAATTCTTGTCATTTTATTATTATTATTTTTTTGCCAAATAGTTACAGATGCAGTATTAATATCTTTTTTCTTGAAAAGTTATCCTGTCATTAATTATGAGAAAAGAGAAAACATTTATGATGAGTAAAACTTTGATCTTCTTGCACTTATATTTTAAAATATAAGTGATCAACTGTATGCAGTGCTAAAGGTAAAATAATAGTGCATGTAGAAATCAATAGTTAACTGTGTAAGGATACACTTTTGGATGACAAAGCTAAAAAACACAGAAGGAAATGATTACAAATCAGGATAATAGTTGCTTATGGGAGGTGGAAAGAGTTGTGATTGGGCCTGGCTCACGGGAAGACAGGATTTCTGAGAGGGTTGACAGAGTTCTGCTTTCCCTACCGCCATGGTGGCTACTTTCAATAACCAAGTGTCTGTTTTATAAAATTTCATAATGCCATAACTTTATTTTGTGTGGTTTTCTATATTTGTGTTCTTTTTAATTTTAAAATAATGAGATTTTAAAACACAGGTAAGATGATTAACTATAGAAAAAAATTATGAACAGTAGTTTCTAATGTGTTTCCAGGCATCCTTTTGGTTCATCCTGGAAAAATGATAAGAGAAAATCTAGGGATGATCTCCATACAAATCTGTGTTTATTTCTTCTTTGTTACTACAGATACTATAAAATATGTCTACCTGCTGATTTTCCAGAGGGGAGTAAAATCAGAAATGTTGGCAGAAGATTTAATAGTTAGGAATTTATCTTATAAGAAAATATAGAGACTTTACTATAGATAGAGACTTTACTACAGAACAGTTATTTTGCCACAAGGCTGGGAGATATCTAGCTTGGCCCTTATCATTCATTCATTCATTCATTCATTCATTCATTTCATTTTAATCCTCACCCAAGGATATTTCTCCATTTATCTTCAGATAGACGGGGAGGGAGGGAGAGAAAAACATTGATATGAGAGAGACACATTGATTGGCTGTCTCCTGCACGACCCTGACCAGGGCTGGGGATAAACCACAGTAGAGGCATGTGCCTTTGGCCGGAACCGAACCTGAGACTCTTTCATCCATGGGCTGATGCTCTAACCGCTGAGCCAAACTGGCCAGGGTGGCCTTATTATTTTTATCCTGAGTGTAACCCAAGTTTATCTGAGCTATAAAATTATTATCTATTATAATATTATCATTAAAAAGTAAACCATCATTTCAAGTGATTAAAAATAATAGCTATTAACTTATAAATTTTATTGGACTGGCTTTGATTTTCTTCCCATTAGCATATTTTTTTGTTTGTTTGTTCATGTAGAGTGGGAGGGGGAGAGAGGAACAGAGAGAGAGAGAGAAACATCGACGTGAAAGAAACACATCGAGTGGCTGCCACCCGCACGACTGACCAGAGCCGGGGACAAATTGCAACCGAGGTACATGCCCTTAGCGGGAACCGAACCCGGGTCTCTCAGGACCGCAGGCTGACGCTCTAACCGCTGAGCCAAACCAGCCAGGGCCCATTAGCAT